GATCTGAAGGTGCGATGTGATGACAGATGGGAAGACCCTTAAAAACACCGAGTGTATCGTCGGTGTCAACAACACTACTGCTGGCCCCAGGAACCGACACACTAAGGAAGGAAATAGAATGTGCATGCCACAGCGACACTTTAAGGCAGAAGGAGGCACACCTGGGTAAGATAACACTTAACACCGGCCCTCAGGATCTTAGTCATCAATAGGGCCACTTATGAGTCACCCAGCACAGTTGTTCAGAGCATATCAGCTCTCCCTCTAAGGCGTCTGATGGAAAAAGTACTTTAAAAAGTCCTGTAGGATGCTGTCTTTCAAAGTTTTATCTCAAGCCACACGTGTTCATTCATGTAACATCAGGACAGCTGGGATTCTGTCAGTCATCCTGGGATATATGTATGTTGTACACACACAGTAGGATACACACGCACAGACACATGCGGTAAATAAACATACATAAATTATTTGTGGCTTTTACATTGATTCTGTTGCTCTCTAAGTGATGAGTGAAAGCTTGCCTTCCTGACATGCCATCAGGAATGTATGTTCCGCATTCACACATACAAATGTCTGTAAGTGTCTGATGGGCCTAATTCATTTCACTGTTTTCCTTTTGCATCCAGACCAATTCCAGGAAACAGATTTAACCACTGAATGAGGATACTTCTAACTGCGGAATCAAATAACCCCCAAATTTCAACGACTGAAAATGGGTTGGATCTCACTCCCGTGGCGATGCAGGTGCTCCGGGCCTGCATGCAGCATGCTGACCTGGGGCCTCTGCTCTGCCATCCACTGGGCCTCAGAGACCTGTGGGTCCATCCGTAAGACCCCAGCCATTCCATTTGGAAGAACTATTTCACGTGGCCCCACCTAGGCTCAAGGGGGAATGGGACACGTAATTTCTGGGTCAGACACCAACCTCTGAAGCCAGCTCCGTGATGTGGAAGGACAGCCGAGAGAGCAAGACGTTCAGGTGGTGATCATCACTGTCACGACCCAGTCATTAATTTTTTTTTTTTTTAAAGAAGCTATTGGTGTGGCTCTGAATGAGCTGCCTCTCCACGCCTTGGACACCATCAGTGGTCACTCTTTAATGACACAGACTGGCTGGGTGCAGTAGCTCATGCCTGTAATCCTAGCACCCTGAGAGGCTGAGGCAGGAGGATTGCTTGAGGTCATGAGCTCGAGACCAGACTGAGCAAGAGCAAGACCCTGTCTCTACTAAAAATAGAAAAATTAGCCAGGCGTGGTGGGGCCTGTAGTCCCAGCTACTGGGGAGGCTGAGGCAGGAGGGTCGCTTGAGCCCAGGAGTTTGAGGTTGCTGTGAGCTAGACTGGCACCACAGCACTCTAGGCTGGGCAACAGAGAAGATTCTGTCTCAAAAAAAAAAAAAAAAAAATTTTTAAAAAATGACACAGACCTTCACAGAGTATGTCTTCCGGATACATCAGAGCCCTGCTATCCATACAGGTGGCCATAAACCACAAGTCCTGGAAATGAAGCCAGTCCAAATTGAGAAGTGCTCTAAGTATACAAAACACAGTGGATTTCAAAGACTTTATAGGGGAAGAGGATATAAAATATCTCATTAATGGTTTATTCAGTTGATAAATGTTGCAATGACAATATTTTGGATATTTGGTCAAATAAAATATTAAAATTCACCTTTTAAGAAACTTAATGTGACTACTAGAAATTTTAAAATCACATCTGTGGCTCACATCTGTGGACTGTGCTGATCTAGAGTGTCAGCCCTAAGGCTTACCATTTAGAAAGTCCTCAAAACAATTTTATTGTGCAAAAGTTTTTTAATAAGTATGTCATATACTACTTTGAGAAGATTAGGAAGAGAAAAATAATAAAATCAAATATAATCCTTTCCCTAGAACTCTAGAATAAAAATTATTCACTCTGCCCCCACCCATGCTATAATGTTTTTAGTCTTTTCTAATATGATTTCAGTCTTTTCTCATATGAATTCTTTTCCTCCTAAATCTGATAATCCAGATCTTTACAACTTAATTAAAAACCATGAAACTATTCATCCTTCCCAGCCTTATCCAAGGAGAGTGACTTCTAGACTTTTAAAATTGTAACCATGATCTCAATCATCTATCTAAGCATTTCTGCTAATGTGTATGTTCCTAAATAATCATGCAAGACTAATGGGAAATTGGTTGGAGCAAACAATATAAAACCTCCATACTTTGTAAGCAAAACACTAACAAAAACAATCACTATCTTAATAAACACCTTACTAAAGTTTAAGACATATTACATTTCTAATAAGTAATAAAATAAATATAAGACTTTATCTTTTTAGGAAAGGGATGATGACATCTTGAAGGAAGGGCTTATATAGAAAGCTTGAACTTTCCTAATTATGGAGGTTAAAATTTTAAAATTCACAGAGATAAGGGTGAATCACATAGTAAACAATTCTAAATTGGAGTGTGTGGTCAAATTTAGTCAAGAGGAAGAAAACAGGCTGAAGAGTATCATGTTATACTACATAGCAGTTAGCAACTTTTACTTTTTAATGGCACAAAAATGAAGACAGTGGGGGGAAATCCCTGTGATTTCTATATTACATAGGCACATTCCATTTTACTAATCACATATGAACTAAATCACACTACAGATACACACATTGTGGCAGAAAGTCTTAATTTTGCTTCATCCTAACAATTCCTGTTTATGCCATCAGGAGGTGATAGCATGCCCTCCCACAACCAACTAGTGATTTTCCAGTTAAATCGTTTGTCATAACATCATTGTGCTCTTTTCAATCTTTTTGCATCAAAAATATATTACTTTATAATAATCAACAGAGTAACCAGACAACCTACAGAAAAAGAACTCAAATTAGCAAGAAAAAAACGAACAACCTCTTAAAAAGTGGGCAAAAATTTTTCAAAAGAAGATAGATAAATGGCGAACAAACATTAAAAAATGCTCAACATCACTAATCATCAGGGAAATGCAAATTAAAACCACAATGAGATATACCACCTTACCCCTGCCAGAATGGCCATTATTAAAAGTCAAAACAACAGATGCTGGTGTGGGTACAGAGAGAAAGGAATGCTTATTCACTGCTGGTGGGACTGCAAATTCGTACAACCTCTACGGAAAACAGTATGGAGATCCCTCAAAGAAATAAATGTGGACCCACCATTCGATCCCACGATCCCACTACCCAAGGGAAAAGAAGTCATTTTATCAAAAAGACACCTGTGCTCAAATGTTTATCACAGCACAATTCACAATTGCAAAGATGTGGAATCAGCTTACGTGCCCATCAATTTATGAGGAGATTAAGAAGATGTGATGTGTGTGTGTGTACACACACACACATACACCATGGAGTACTACTCAGCCATAAAAAGGAATGAAATAATGTCTTTTGCAGCAACTTGGGTGGAACTGGAGACCATTATCCTAAGTGAAGTATCTCAGGAATGGAAAACAAACACCACATGTTCTAATAATTGGGAGCTAAACGATGGGCACACACGGGCACAAAGAGATGTAAAGGACATTGGAAACCAAGAAGCAGGTGGCTGGGAGGGGGTGAGGGGTAACACCTTACCTGTGAGGTACAATAAACACTATTCTGCTGATGGGCACACTACAAGCCCCAACTGAAGCATTATAGAAGGTATCCATATAACAAAAACATTTGTACCCCCTTGAAACTAAAAAATGTATATATACATATGTATAACTTTACAAAAAGAACTGAGTTTGGAGGAACATTAGAGACTATATTTAAGGACAATACTTTTAGAGCAAACTTTTCTTACGTTTGAGATAAAATGTAATATGCTATCTCCATATCTATGCTAACTGTGAAATCAGAATTTTAAAATAAGTCTTAAAGACCTGTTCTGTACCAAGGGGACTCACAGCCACAAATTTATTGCACCTGCTTAAGTAAAGAGATTGGTAAGGTCCTCAGGCAATGGGGATTTTCAAATTATGATTTTAGAGCTCAGTGAGAAAAGCAGAGTGAGTGAGTTAAAAGCAATAGTTCTCTGGAATTTTCCTTTTTTATGGTTGTGCTATAATAATTCACGATCTGCAGTCACAGTAGGAAGACGCTAGCAAGCAAAAAGCTAGGAGCCAACTCTGGTTACCACACGCCTGGTGACAACACTGGGACATTGTGGCAAGTGCAATGACAGTTCTTCCCAAAGATTAGAATAAACGGTGCCAGAGCAGGATGACAGTGTAGCTAATTTTGCAAAATGCTAATTCTTCTCTCCTCTCAGTTTATCATTTCAAATGCATTCCTTGCTAACACTCAAGGCTTACATCCAAGTAAACCACAGGGAAGGAAAACAGTATGTCTTCTTCCCCTACCCTTCTAAATTCTTCAGCTGGAGCCCTGGGTAGTATACTAATACAACACAGATTAACGAGGAAAAAGTATACGAATTTATTTAATGTAAGTCTTGCGTGACACAAAACCTTCATAAGGAAGACCTAAAGAAACAGTTGAACCTGAGCGTTATTTATGCTAGGTTTGATGAAGAAATATTGGTCGAAGGAAGTGAGCTGAAGGTAGTCAAAGGCCTGTTCCTTCAGATGCCTCTGGGCCCATCCACCCTCCGGCGCAGGGAAGGCAGCTCCCACACAGAGCTTGTGACCTGCCTCGGGGGAGGAGGGCCAGGCAGGGGGGCTCAGTGTCCTTCCTGCACCTGCCATTTCTCAGATCCCTTCAGGAAGGAACCGTAAAATACTCACTATGCCAGAGCGCCTTATTTTGAAGCCCCCCAGATAGGGGTTCTTTTGCTAATCTGTCCAGGTAGATTATCTGGGTTTGTAGTTATTAAGTAAAATGGCCATATATTTCCCTGACAAGTATTACTGAAAGATGGAGCCTTGAGGAAAGTTAGCAAAGTAGGTGGTCAGACTCAAGAAAGTGCCGCCCTTCCACCTACACCAAGAATTCCCAGCTCAGTGTGAGCTTGACCCTCTGCGCTTCTCAGTTCACAGAAATCAGTCACCGCATACTGTGCTCCTACAACACCAACACAGAAGAGCTCTTTTCAGAAATCGACCGCTGCCTGGCCATAAATCGAAGTGTTCTTCAGCAGCTGGAAGAAAAGTGTGGCCATGCGATCACAGAAGAGGACTGGCAGAAAATCCAAATGCAGGTAGGCTTTGGACTGGCTGCCTGGTCAGTAAACGGAAGCAGCCACAGCCGGCGGGAGTGTGCAGGGGAGGGGGTGCGAGGGAGGGAGGGCAGCAGCTTCCCCAGGACTCATTCGGGGGAGCCTGCACCAGCGGTGGGCCCCTGGGCCTTCGTCCTGAGCTCTGGGATGACCGCCAAGGTCCCTTCAGTTGGAAATTCTGGTTGGCCGATGCCCCTCTGGGAACAGTGAAAACACCAAAGGGAAAAGCCTGCCATGCACACCACCTTCCAAGAAAGTTTTCCTGTAAGTTCTAGCCTGCCCGCTTGCATCTGTAGTAGCCAAGGAATAAAACTCTGAGATGACTGAAAAGCCAGGACAGAAGGAAAACTTACTTTAAAAGATCATAAAACTAGGAAAAATTTAAAAGTTTAGTAGTTACGTAGAGTCAAGTATTTGAAAAATGCTACTACTGATTGCTTAATTAGAAGGAAATATATATTATGAATTTTCAGCATTTAGAAACTATTTTTGTTTTAAAATTGCTTACCACAGGTGGATTACTGTCTCTTTCCATGTTTCACAAGAAGAACAAAGTATATACTACATGTAATTAATGTTATTTTAACACAGAATGAACCTCCTTCATTTTTAGAAGACTCGTGTCTCCTGGTACATAACTCATTTAAGTAGCTTTCTATTATGATAAAACTAATAACCACACACAAAATTCACTTCTCTGTGCTGCAGGCTCTTCACCGGGAGACCTACGAGTGTCCCATCTGCCTCACCCCTCTCTCACTCGGCAGCGACGGTCAGCGAGCGGCCATGGGGAGGCGCCAGCATACCCGAGAGACGGTCCTCTTGTCCTGCTCACACATGTTCCACCACACGTGTCTTCTTGCTTTAGAGGAGTTCTCCTTGGGAGACAGTTCTTCTTTCCACACTTGTCCTCTCTGCCGGTCTAGTTACCAGAAGAAAATTCTTGAATGTTGAATTTATATTCAGGAAAAGTTACTTAATTCCAAGAAAAAAAGTTTACCTTTATTTTGGATTAACTGCATGAGTTTTGGGTTAAATATTACAATGTAATCTGTTCTCCAGTGAAATAAACTCTTGATAACTGTACATAGGAAATCTATATTTTAAAAGCTGACAACCAACTAGCTTTAGTCTTTAGTTTATAAAAAGTAAATATCCAATTCATGAGTTTAATCACTTGATATAAATGAGGAATGGCAAAAGAATGAGCTTAACTTAAATCACTTTAAAAAATTAAGGTTACTTAAAATATAGCTAGTGTCTGACCCACAAGCTAGTAAACTCAAAACACTCTTTAAATAAGTTCCAAATGTTTTCCATTAATACTTTAAGTGTCTTAAACCCTCTGCTATTCCTAATACTTGTTTTGTAATAATTGCTGTGTTCCTATGTAATAAATTACTGTTGTAGTTGAGCACTTTGAATGTTGACTATGTAAACCCAACCTATAAAAATAAAATATTCAGTGGTACTCAACGTCAGAAAATGTTAAATCGAATTTTAATGACTGAGAGCAATATAAACTGTTTTAGTTTATACATAAAGAAAACCATGAAAATTCTTTGATAAGAACTGTTTTTGTCACTGCTTTACTATTACCGCAAGTGTGGTTATTTACAATAACCGCTTACAGTTGTGTCGGTTAGGATGCCCCCTAGCTGCTGTAACAGATAAAAAAACCCAAATCTCAGCGGCTCACCCAAGAGAAATGTTATCTCTAAGTCGTCTGATCGTGCCAGCAGCGGGCTGAGGGGTCTGCCCGACGTGGCCCGTCAAGGCCTGGCTCTCTCTGCCTCGTGGCTCAACGTCTCCTTCATCCCCAAGGTCCCCCAGGGAATCCTCTCATCCGCAGTGGAAGAGGAGATTGTTAGGACCAGCCTGGAAGTGGTGCACGTGCCTCCAGCCATCGGTAATTACAGGGGGGCAAGGAAACGGCCAGGCCCGGGCCCACGAGGACGAGGACAAGCAGGTCGTCAGGCAGGTGCACACATGCCGAAGGTTCAGAACAATCCACTGTGTAACGTGGGAAGAAATACTAAAACTTATTTCTGTTTATTTTGTATCTCATCCTTTTAAAATAGTGCGCTGGTATGTTGTACGATTACACAGTGCATAGCTGTAGATGTAATTTATGAATATCGTACACTGGGCTGTGCTCAGACACTTTTCAGTGATGGAGTATGCCCTCACAAAATCCGGAGACTAATTTGGAGAATGCCTTTAACCATGAGTAAACACTTTCATTGTAAGACAGCAGAGGAAAGCCGCGTCGCGGAACCCCCCTTTTCCATTCAGGAGGCCCGAGAAGCAGACGTTTCTCTCCCCATGCCCTGGCAGGCAGAGCACAAGCATGTGTCCAAGGCCTGGGCAGTCTGATTCCACTACCCGAAACTTTGAATCTGGAGGGAGATCCCAGAGATGCAAGTGTTATTCAGTAAAGGCCACGTCTGCGGCTGCATCCCAACACTGATCTTCCCGGGCTTTCTCGTTGAGTCTGTGAGCCATCACTTACCCTTCCAGTAGGCTCCTTTCCTGCTCAAGTTGGTAGAGTCCCTTACTGTTCCTTGCAACCAAGTACAGTACTTTATAGGAATTAGTGTTAGTTGTACTCAGGAAAATCGGTGGGAATGGGAGTCTGAGATTGGTCATCAAACTTCACTGAGGATGACCACAGACTTCTGTAGTCTGAGCAGCATCGTTTGTGCGACATGTGGTCAAGCGTTGTCTTGCAAGAAGATTGGCCTGTCTCTATTGACCAATCTCAGCTGCTTAATCGCAAACAACCTCATCATTTCATCCAAATGGTTACACTAGACATTCGCTGTAATCGATTAACCAGGTTTCATGACGCTGTAGTGGATAATACCAGCACTGGGTCATCAAACATCTTTAGCTTTTTTTGATGAATATTCTGTTTTGGACTGTGTTTTGGCACGTCACCTTTATCCAACGATTGTGCCAAACATTTGTGATTGTCAAAAAGAATCCATTTTCCATCACATGTAACAACACAGTGTAGAAATCGTTCACCTTTATGTTCTAACAGCAAAGAAAGGCAAGCTTTGAGATGATTTCTCTTTCGATGCTCGTTTAATTCATGTGGAACCCATCTATCCAGCTTCCTAACCTTGCCCATTTGTTTCAAATGGTCCAATATTGTTGGAATAGTAACGTCAACCCTTGCTGGTAATTCACACATAGGTTGAGATGGATTCCCTTCCACTATAGCTTTCAGCTCATCATTATCCACCTTGGTCACAGGTAGCCCATGTGACTCATTTTCAACATTAAAATCACCAGAAAGGAACTTCTCAAACCATCAACGTACTGTGCGTTCATCAGCCACATCCTTCCCAAAGGCCTCATTGATATTTTGAGCTGTCTGCATTGCACTGGTTCCACGACGGAACTCGTATTCGAAAATAACATGAATTTTTGACTTATCCATGGCTTCACAAAAATTGCTCCAAAAAAAATTTAAAAGAGAACCACAAGCCAAAACGTGCATTTGAAAGACTGAGGTTGTACCTTCACAAAAATAAAACAAGGAAGTGTCAAAGTGAACTGTTAGACATATCAACCGTCAAACTTAGTACTTAAAGAAATCAGGCATTTCATACTTAATAACCTAAGGCGGTATCTGTTTTCTTGTTTCTATGATTATATTTGATGCTCAGTTGATTCCTTAGGTTTGTTGTTTCCCTTTTCATCTCACCATATTACAACTTTATTTTATTAATTTTTATTAAATTGCTCAATAGTATGTTTTCTCTTTGGTTGGATTCTTTGACTTTCGCATGCCACGTTCTTTTATTTTTACCTTCTGTGGAATGTTTGAAGTTAGTTGTCTTGCAATTTTTTTAAAAAAGTTTTGCTCATACCTGGGTGGCTCTGTCTAGTCATTCTATTTGCTCTAATGAAACGTCCTTGACTCTCCTATGTCCTTATCTAAGACTAATTTGTTTTTCCTCTCAGCTACAGTTTGAGAGCTAGGTAATTTGTGTTCTACGTACCCTTCTGTTGCCTCGGAGAATGACAGGAGGGGACAATTCCACTAACACCAGTGCCGTCTTTGCAGTCCCCGGGCTCTGCTCTCACAGTTCTGACATTTCCAAGACTTGAACCAGAACTGATGGGAGAGGAGTGAAGAGTGGACGTACTACACTCATGGGAATATATCTTTGGCTATGGACGCTTTCTAACTTCAGTGTGGTGCTCCGCAACCACCTCAGAGAGACAGACCAGCCCACTGCTTCACCTTCCCACTTTGCTCTTTTCTTTCCAATTGTCAGGAAAGGAAAAATATGGGTGTTACTCAGTTTGCATCTAATCGTATCTGGGGGTACCGGCGAGACTTCTCAAGATTTTTGTTAATTTACTTAGTCCAGCTTCTAGGTGTGAAGCAAGGAAGAGTGCAATGCTATATATCTCTTGTTCTTTAGAATTTTCTGTTCTTTCCTCTTAGGCCCTCCAAGAAAATATGGTCATAATAAACTTTGGGGAGTTTATTGTATCAGGCTGTGCTCCTTTTCTTGTCTGCCTGCTGTTGGTGCACTTGGTTTACACATGCTTATTAGGTATCAGGAGAGGGAAATTCTGCCATGCTGTTTAAATCCATCGTCTTAATTCATGAGCCCCTTGAGTTATTTAAAAATATAGTTTTTACATTTCCAGGTGGTTGGATATTTTATTACTTTTTATTAGTAATTTTTGTTTCATTTGATCAGAGAACATAATTTTATCAGTCCTATTTCTATAATAATGCTTATAAAAATAAGCATTTCTTTCTTGTTCGTTGGATAGGGGTGGGCTAATCTAGGGTAGGCTTAGCTGGAGTTGGCTCCAAACTGAGTTAGATGCAGATATGGTCCACGAGCTTTATGAATTTTATTTCTTCCAGCTGCAACCAAGGAGTTCTGATGAATAGACGAAGATAGTGCAAATTAAGGGTTTTTTGTTGTTGTTGTTGTTGTACAATGTCTCTGGTATTTTTAAATAATTTGACTTCAAAATATGTTGAAAAATAGTACACAATTCCCATATCCCAATCACCCAGCTTCTCCTCATGTTAATATAATCATAGTAACAATTATCTAAGCCAGAAATGAACACTGATACAATAATGATAACTAATCTGCAGACCTTATTCAAAGTTTACCATCGTCACTGGGATATTTTGTGAATAAGAATGATCTGCATCAATGTATGTGCTAATCTGTCTAAAAGAATGCATCTTCCAAATTCTAAGCCAAGTGTATGTAGTAAAGTCACCATACTACCTGGAAGTCTCCAGACAGAGGAGACTGAGTCATTGCTACATGGAAGGGCTACATGAAATCAAGAGCAAGTTTAAATATCCACAATTCGAAACACAAGATTAGTGTTTAGTACCTTAATAGGGGAGTACATTCTTCAAAATCACTTTATAATCTGCACTAATTAGAGGTTCAGGATATAGAATTTAGAAATAAGCTAGACTTTTATGGGCATTTAGTTTATGAAAAAGACATTTAAACACATATTGTTTAGTACATGGCATTACCACAACTGGCTAGCCATTTGGGGAAAAACTAAAGCTGATTAAGAATCAGTCAGAATTGCATTCCGGCACGGGTAACAGAGACCTGACTACAGCAGCTGAATACCAGAGCTACTGCCCTCTCCCGTAAGGAGCGCGAGCAGAATACCATGTAGCCATTCAATGCAACGATGTAAGCCCACGCCTACCGGAAAGGGAAGCTGCCCGTGAGTGAAGGAGGGTATACACACAGAACATAATCCTGCCGTGGCATCGGGCTCGTCCGGAGCAACCACGTGGAATCACATGGTGCACACTATAACACACTGAAATTTAAGGATTAAATTAGACAAAAATCAGGGGAAACATTTTAATGATCCAGTATTACTGCCTTTTGTAGAGTCAGACTTGGCTGATATTTCAAGGACAAAGATAC